TCTTTCCTGTCATACTTTTTCAGACCAAGACCATAAAAATGCCTCACTTGCCCAGGCTGCACCTGACTCTTCTTTATTGAAACACTGGTCCCTCTCTCCACAGGACGGATGATTATTACAGTACCTAAAAGCATAAGAGAGCAGTATTAATAGGTACCATTGCCATTAATGGTTAAGCACTTCTTAAAATATCCTTTGATTCTGATCTCTCTTTTTTCTTTCTTTTGTTCTTTCTCTCTTTTCCTTTCTTTCTTCTTTCTTTCTTTCATCTTTTCCTTCTCTTTTTTCTTTTTCTTTTCTTTTTATTTGTTTAGTTTTTACCAGAAGGTGTGTATGCATGCATGCAAGAGGGACAGAAAGTGACAACCCTCCCCCCCACAGGGAATAGTCACACCATCATCCTTTCTCCTCCATTTCTCCCTCCTGTCAGGATTTTGACCACACGCATATATGTGCCTGGTGTATTTTTCAGGAAAAGTGGGTCTAGAGCTCTAACCATGCAATTGGTTATGTGCGATTCAGCACCTCTACCACCATGACACCATCTGGCCCTCAAACTCTTTATGTAAAATAAGCGGTTTCCTTAAAATTTCTAGTTCTTGAAATTTGAAGTTCTGGATAATATGGTTACTTAATACGAGACATACCTGAAGGGAACCCACAAAGCCAGATTAATCCATCTTCCCACAGAAAAGCCATGGTCCTGGCTTTAATTGCAGTTCACATGTTTAGCCTGTGCAATCCAAAATACTAAGGTTAGATATGTGTCATGATGACTTATCATTAATTATTTAAAATCAAATAGAGGCTATTTGTTCCAGCTGGAGGATGTTACTGGTTTTCCTATTTTGCTCTTGAGCTGCCTCAGGCCAACCTCCCAAGATGAGCTTCTTATAAAGCCAAGAAAGACTTTTCCATGCTTCAGCACTGCAGAGACATTAGTTGTGACCCTAAAGTACCAATCACTAGTAGTGAAGGGTGAAGAGTTTCTCTCATAGAATACGAGTGAACAAGTTACAGCCCTGAACTGCAATCACATCCTGAAACAAGTTTCTCAACATATGTTGAATTCCATAACTCTTTTTTTTCAAAAGATTCTACAGTTATAAATGTTCAGTTTCAGGGCCAGCGGGTAGTGTAGTGGTAAAGACACTGCACTCCCACATGGCTGACTGCAGTTCAAGTATCGGACCTGGAGGCTTGAAACTCACGCCAGGCTTGCGTTCCCAAAATCCAGAGAGGAGAGTGGAGGAGAAGTGATTGCAGTGTGGCCATGGCCCCCTGGGTTGTGATTTCTCATTTTCTGTCTCTGTCTCTGTCTGTCTCTCCAGTGAGCACATATGCCCTATAACAAAAATCTTTCAGGAAAAAAAAAATGCAGTTTCATTTATAAATTTCAGCCTTACTCCTATATACATAACTATTACCACACGTAGCAGTGGCATTTCAGGCTATGAACTGTTTGCATTGTTTTTCTGAGTGTAACGTGTCTAAGGACATCAGCTCAAATGCCCCCTGAGGGAGAAGACTTAGAAGATTTATGATGTGGTTAAATTTCTCTGAATCTAATCTAATCTCTCACATTGAAGAATTTAAAGGCACTTAGTGTTGCAGAGGGTTTATTGCAGCTGAGAGGGTGAGAGACGAGAAGAGAAGCAAGAAGACTAAGGAAAAAAGGAGAAAGAAGATGCTTTCATGATTAGAGAAAGGCTGAGAAATACGAAAGTACTGATTTTGAAAATTCCAGCTGCTGCTGGCTTGTATTTCACTTGTATGTATTGATTACTTCTTTCTTAGGTATGCTAGCATAGAGCACACAAACTATGGGTTATACATTTTCATGATTCACTCTGATGTAGTCAGATTCAATACAAAGGCGTGGCACAAACTCATCAATTATTAAATCCCTGCTGTATTCGGGCATACATGGATATTAAAGTTACAGTAAAGACCCAACAGGGGATCAGCAGTTAGTGTAATGGCTATGTTGCTGGACTCCCATGTAGCCGACCGCGGTTCGAGTCCTGGACCTGGTGGCTTAAACTCACGCCGGGCGTGTGTGCGTACATGCCCAAGATCCTGAGAGGAGAATGGAAGAGAAGGGATTGTGGCATGGCCATCCTCCCTGGGGAGGGATTTCTCACTTTCTGTCTCTCTGTCTCTGTCTTTCTGACGAGCACACGCGCCCTATAGCAAAACCTCTCCAAAAAAAGAAAAAATAAAAAAAATGACCCAACAGGAAGTAACGTTCCGGCCTGCTGTGGTGATCATGATCCAGGTGTGATCCTCATCTTTTAAGGTCCAAAAATTCAAGGTTTTTATTTCAAACAGAGGTAACTGGGCTCAGGGGACTGATGATTATTAAACTCACAAGAAAAGAAATGCCAGTGTATAGTCTCAAGTGAGAAAATCTGAATACCCATGTTAACTGGTCAGCACAATCTCTCCCCTCCTGGAAAGTCTACATGGATAGCTAAATTAGGATCAGAAAGAACGTAATTCAATGAGCGTGAAATCTGAGCCGGGTATTGAGCTGAGGATCTCAGCGGTGCACACTGCATTCAACTATATCACCCCAAGAGCCTTAACAACAACTGCAAACCCAACTTTTATCTCCTCTTTCTCTAGATCCCATTCTTTCTTTAGGCACTTTCTGTTAATGTTCTCACCTACAACTGGTAAATATTATCAATAGGGCAACAATCGTCTTCAGCATTGTTATGCCCTCGTTAGATTTCCAGTCTCTGTTTTGCCTATTTGAGCTGGGAGATGACTAGTCCCTAAAGAACTTCCAAAGTTATTATTCCATTGGAATACACTTATTTTACTGGTTTATCCTTGTTAGTGGAAAATGCTGCCTCCTAAATCCTCATATGTTTTTGAAAAGGGATTTCCACTAGGGTGACATTCCTGGCCTTCCCTTAGAGAGGAGAATTGACTTACCTTGCAGGTGAATTTGAGAAATGCTCTTAAGCATAGATAATTCTTCCACTTCTGTTACCGAACTCAAATCAGGTTCGCTCGCCCAAGTGCTATGAAACCAAACCATATGCACACAGTGTGATGAAGGAAAGTATAGCTTTATTGCAAAGTGCAAAGCAAGGAGAGCGGGCAGCTCATGCTGAAAAGACCCGGTCTCCCAGAGATGTTCCCCACATGCCTTTTTAAGGGCAAAACTTAGGGGCAGAGGTCCTAGGCTCATGATCAGTTCAGTGATTGGTTTAAGAGGGCATGATCATCTCATGGGCATTCTTGATTGGTGAGGCCTTAGATAATCAAATTTCTCTTCAGGTGTCTGGAACCGTTCAGCCTGGAGTCTTTGAGCTCACAACCAGCAGTTTCCAGCCTATAAAACATCTTACATATTGAAACTAAAACCTTATCTTTCCTTTAAGTGAGAGTTTTAGAGGTCAAATGGCCCTCATTTATGGTCCATGTTGGTCATTATCATAACCAAAGTCTGAAGACTTACTCCTTACTCTGGGCCATTACAATGTAAATGGACTTTGTATTTCAGGAACCCTAGAAAATACATTAGGGAGTCCTTGCTCGGTTTCACTTCTAAAGCCCTTCTCCAGGTGTACAGGTTGGTTAAAATAAAACATCTTCGTGTTCTCCTCTACTGTACAATAAGGGTTTCATTCTAAGAGGGGACCAGGTACATAAGTCTGTCTAATTTGGAGGAAGAAGGGGATGTGATTATTAGACCCACGTGGGGATACCTGCTATAGCTTCCTGCCCAGGCTACACAGAATGTGCCAGAAGGCATGCAGTGCCAGATGGATGGACTTTAGAGAGCTCTGTTTGGCCCCTCAATTTCTAAAGCCCTGGATTCACTCATTAGCTCTCAAGCTGTATTGAGAAATCTTGTTTTCTTTTGATTTAATTTTTGTTAAACAATGATAGAGGACTATTAAAAGAAAAATTAACCAGCCAATTTAATAGACTAGAGTTTTAATAGAGCAAATCTTAACAGGATTTAAAACAGGCAGTTGTCCCCAGACTTCCAGACAACTCTGGCCAGCCATGTGGTAGAAAGTCAGCAGGACAGGAAAGTGTTATACAAAAAATGTAAATGAGGGAGTGAGGTAGAGAAATTATTGGTTACATTTCAAGGTTTGTCATGAACATGGTTTAAATGATTGACAGAAGCCTAGCTGTTGAAATTGGCTGTAACCTAGCAACCAATTCAGAAAAACAGCCTACCATGTATGATTTTGGCTTATATATAAGAATCTAAGTGGGGGAGTACAGTGGCTGTTTTAGGCCAAAATAGTTATTTAACAGAACCTTTACTTGAGCAGTGATCAGCTTGTTTGATGAATAATTACTTCATTATTACTTAATTTTGTCCTGTATCTATCTTGTCACCTTTGTGACATCGAGACCCTTAGAAATACTAAAGTTCCTTATAGAATCCTAAAGATGGTTAATTCTATCCTGATACATTTGATTCCTTTTCTTATGCTTTTTTTTTTTTTTAAATGTTGGCTTCTGACTACACCTCCCTGGAGCCATCTATTTTCTATTCACATTCAATACAACTCCTCTTACTTCTTCCTGGGCCTCTTGCCCCTGTCAACCTGGATTCCACTCATTGAACACTTTCTTCCATCACTTTATTTCATTTTACTATTTTTTATGTGGGGTTAGAAATAAATGGGTATTTTTGATGGATCTTGCAGGTGGCAATCCTTCCATGCCAGCAATCCAGTTAGCTAGAATTTCAGGCAAGCACAACCATGCCTGATGTGTTTAGGCTAGTCTGGGATCTGAAGCCAGGCTTTTCCTGCAGCTCCCACATTGCTGCACACCAGTGTCCTACTGCCTGTGCTACCATGGCTGGGCTCTTTCGCCACTTTAAACCTCTTCTTCATACTCTAACATCTCTCTACCTGGCCCCTAACCCTCTTAGCCAGCTTCAGAAAATGACTTATTCTCCCATCTCCAGCGTTTCCAGAACTAAAAGTCAGAATTGGCATACTCCTACCTCCAGAATGTCCCTCCTAAATTGTGTTTATCCAAACATAATTCAAAATCCTCCTAAAGCCCATGCCATCCTGCCTGCTGTTTAGACCCTGCACAGTTAAGCGCAGCAGGCCAAATCCTCACTATCAGATCTTTCTTCCGATGCCTCGGTCTCATACGATTTTTGAATTCTTACATAGATCTTTATCTTTGCTAGACAAAGTTAATCTTGTAGAAAATATGACATTTACTATTTCCAGAATGAAGCAACTCTTAGATTTGGTAGTTTTGCCAAATTTATACACAAAGGACACAGATTGAGATATAAACATTGTATCCTTAATTATTTTATCTCCTAATGAAGCAAAACATTTCATCTATAATAATTTTAAAAATAGCATAGCAAATGGAGCTGAGAAAACTGGGTGCATACAAAATAAATAAGTTACATCAGGTACAAATATTAACTCTAAATGCTTCAAAGGCCTAAATTTAGGATCTAAAACTATGAAACTCTTAGAAGAAAACACAGAGGAAAATCTTCATGATGTAGTATTTTGAAATGATTCTTGTATGTGCCATCAAAAGCACAGTTAACAAAAGTAAAAAAGAGACAAATAAGAATTCATTAAAATTTAAAACTTCTGTGCATTCAAGAACTATCAATGGAGTGAAAAGGCAGCCCACAGGATAAGAGGAAATATTTGCAAATCATATGTCTGATAAGCAATACATATCTAGAATATATAAAGAACTTCTACAGCT